GATAGGAATACGAGATTGTCGATGATTCGGCTAAAAATAGATTACACCAAACAAATGCTTCTTCTTACTAGCGATTCTATGAATATTAAATACTCCACTATTATTATTATTATTATTATTATTATTATTATTATTATTATTATTATTATTATTATTATTATTATTATTATTATTATTATTATTATTATTATTATTATTATTATTATTATTATTATTATTATTATTATTATTATTATTATTATTATTATTATTATTATAGTAAATATTCACAACCATATAGTGCAAATCTTCTTGTTTAATACAAAATTTTGGATTTATGATTCTTTTTTTAATTTTTATAATTGGAAAATCCATTATTACCTTAAAAGGAAGAATATTTGATTAGCCCAATTTCAAAACCTTATTATACCATTTTTCAATAATATATATACTATAGTTCTATAGATCCTAAAATACATATATCATAGCAAACTCAAAATTAGAACCAAAAAAGAAAAAAGAAAAAAGAAAAACACTAGTAAGCAAATAATGGCAAGATTTAATGTGTTAACCTTGTGTTTTCTCTTCGCCCTCATTTCAGGTAAACATTCTTCCGATTGTTGAATCATAATATACAAATTGAACGATTTCTTTCATAGCTAATGGCGAAGTCAAAATTTTATGTCTAGACAGCTTAATATGCACTAATTTGTTTTTTTTTTTTGTAATTAGTTATCGTATTTTGATATATTTATATAAAATAAAATGCAGGTGGTGAGATGTTACAAGTGTTGGCTGCAGATCAGAAAAATGGTGAATTGGTAAAATCGAGTCCTAAGAGGTGTCATGTAATCCTTTTACAATGTTCTACCTCGTTGTGCCGTGAAAAATGTTGCGAGAAAACGTGCGCCAACCTGTTTTTCGGACATAATCATATCCATTCGGAACTTGCACACATGTCCCAAATCATGATTACTTTATCTGCGTTTGCAAATATGATTGCTAATTAATCACCTTGATCTTGTTATTCAAACAAAGAAAAAAAAAGAAAAAAAAAGGGAAACCAAGAAGTTAGTATTCTTTTAAATTATAAGGCATGATGTTGTTAGCATCAATTAAAAGTATTAGGGGGTTGCAATATGAATTCAGCAAAAAAAACTAGGGTGAAAAAAAATGCACGCATTTTTCGCATATTTATATTTGTACTCCCTATTGTAATATATATCTAGTCTAAGAAACTTGTGGACTAAGTCAATACGTGTCATCCTCTCCTCATGTTAATCTTTTAATAGCATGCCAAAGCTTATTGGTATTCTTGTATAAACAGATGGCACGATTTATATAAATTGAAGACAGAAGCTTTTCGGCTTCAATAAAATTCTCATTTCATTTTCTTTTCAATGCATATATTATAACTTTTGATATTAGCTTAGTTATATATTTTATCTTATGAGCAAATATGGCTTATTCTATAACACGTTATCAGCACGAGATTCTGCTCGATAGAGATTTGTTATTTTCGTATTCTTCTTTCTATTTTATTTTACGAAAATCCAGATTACGCTATCATTTCTCAAATGATATGATGGATTCGTGTATATTAATCTATTGCTTATTTATTTGTTGAATTGCTGCTGAAATTTATATTTGCAAGCTTGTGGATTCCAAGCAGTGTTATAAGCACGTGCTAGTTTTAACAGATCTGTGGGCCGACTTAGAGGCCAAGATATTAACTTCGAGCATGATGCTCGTCGAGTAAAAGATATAATAATC